CTCCTGGACTGCTGCTGCAGCAATCCCACAASGAAACAGTGCTGGGGGCTCCCACTCTTCCAGGCTGCAGCACTGGGACCAGCCAACCCAGCACTCCAGAGGGTCTGGGGCTTGATGCCTCCTGACTCAGACACAAGGGCTGAATGGTTATGCAACAATMTATTTTAAATGGGGTCCCTGCTCGTCTCTCTGGACAGTGGCAGGCCAGCGGGAAGCACCAGAAGGTATCAATATCTTTGAAGGGAATTCAGATGAGGAAAAAATGGACAATGYTATCAAATATTTCTAATAAAGCATGAAGTTGAGAGTTACTTTACTTACCTGCAGGGAAAAGAAATGAAACCATAGCTAGGTCAATTAGAAGTCATGCTGCTGAAGGCTTTTTCAGTTTGGACAGTATAGTGAATAAATTGAAGCTAATAATGTTCATTATTACTWATTACTGACTGTGGAGGAGGGCACTAGACACAGCCTGTGTCCTGTGCTCCTGCTGGGGACTCTGTCTGTGGATCACATCTGCCCTGACCTCGCTGTGCTGTTGTGTGTTGCAGATCAGAGGCTCCAAACAGTGCAGCACCCAAACCCCTCTGCGGAAACAGAATTTAAAGGGATTTAAAATTCATGGAGTGCTCCGGCTAAGGCTGGCTGGCCCCAAGCGAGGGAGCAGTGATACTCCATGGCAACCCGCAGGAGCCAGCGGGTTTCTCTCTGGGGCAGCTGCTCTTGGCTCTGTGAGACTTTCAGGGTGCATTTCAGCCTCAGGGCACTGGCAGGGATCCTCAGGGATCCCTCCAATGCAGAGCAGCTGACACCACAGTCTGTGTGCTGCRCTGAGCACTGAGCAGTGACCCTGCTGAGCCACTGCATGAGCAAGGAGCAACCGTGCAGCCCAGAGCACTGGTGTGCAGCGGCCACAGAGCACAGTTGGGGTTTTGGCTGGGGTTTGTCGCTCCTCAATGTTCCCCAGAGCAGCAGAGGCTGTGGCTGAGCCGCTCCTTGTGTGAGGGCTGTGGTCTTGCTTTCCTCACCTTTCTCTCTTTCCTCATCTTTCTCCCTCCACTGCTTCTCAGCGTGAAGGTCCAGGTGCCAGGTGCACTTCAGAGGACACAGCTGGGGATTGTATCTCTGCTAAGAAATGTCAAAACCCTGGGCCAGATTGCAATAATCACTTTTTCAATTTTATGTCCATTTTTTTCCCATACATACATTACCTTGAAACATTTCCTCCTTCTCTCACCTCACTTGTGTGTTTCCCTGGGTTTCATACTCCAATGAAACCCCAGGCACTTTTGATAGGTTTCAATGAGATCTTGTCTTTGTTTACCCAGCTCTACACAGCTGCTCCCCCAAGGGGGACTGGAAGGGAATCAGAAGTGTAAAAGCTGGAGAACTCATGGGTTGAGGTACAGACAGTGTAACAGGGAAAGCAAAAGCTGTGCATGCAAGCAAAGGAAAACAAGGGATGAATTCACTGCTCCCCATGGGCAGGCAGGTGTTCAGATGTCTCCAGGACACCCTGGCCCTGTCATGTGATGGTGACTTAAACACTCCAAACATCCCCTCTCTTTTCCCCCCACTTTATACAGTGAGCATGATGTCTCATGGTCTGGAATATCCCTTTGGTCAGTTGGGGTCACCTGTCCTGGCTGTGTCTCCTCCCAGGCACCYCCAGTCCCCTCCCCAGTGTGGCAGTACTGCAGTGTGAGAGGCAGCAAAGGCCTTGGCTCTGKGTGAGCCTTGCTCAGCAATAAMAAAAATATCACTGTGTTATTAACCCTGTGATCAACGCAAGTCCCAAACACAGCCCCACACCAGCCACAGTAAAGACAATTAATTTTATATCAGCCAAAATCAGCACAGATCTCATTAGCTAGTTGCACCTGAGGGTGGYTTATATGAGTAACCTTCAGTAAAACTGGAGATGCTACAGACACCCTTTTCCTGCAAAATACAGTGGTAAAAACAAAGAATAACCCAGCTGACACCTGCTGTACCCTAAGCATGCTCCTTCTACATGGAGACACTGACTTGTTTAATGGAATGGAAGTGTATCAGAGGACAGCACACACTGCCCACTGTCTCTCCTCACTCCCTGCCACTTCCTGAGCTGCCTATTGCCTGGGAATGAGAGTCTCTCAAAAGGGCATCCGCTACTCCTTCTGTCCTTGGGATGCACTGGGAACCACCATGCTCCTTTGATGGACAGCACTTGCCAGAGAATTGATGCCCCCGGTAAAGCAGCTTTTTCCTCAGGGTCCGGGAGGTGCTGCTAGTTGTAAACAGTGMTGTCCCTGTGCCCCCATCTCCATGGAGCACAGCCCTCTCAGCAACACCAGCTGCCCACCAGGCTGTCCTTTGACTTTTTATCTTGTGAGMCAAATATAACCACATTTAATGGCATCTATTTCCAAGAGTCATGAAAATAAAAAATCAGCTGGAGTTGTGTCTGTGTATCTACAGGCACAATTTTTAAGGGACATTTCTCTGMAGCTGCCATCAGCACATCATCATGGTACACAGGCTTTAAGACTGATTCCTTGATAGTCTGTCACCTGAAAAATGTGTCCCACATTCTTTATTCACAGGTTATTATCGACACACTACCCCCAGTTTACGGGATGGAATGAGAGAGAAAATGAAAAAGAGAGCAAAATTATTTCAAGGAGGGGTAACACTTCTTTGTTTGCCTCAAGCTTTGTCTTTGTGGTACATTCAGTACATAAACACGATTTTATTACTTCGCAGAGCAGTTCTCTTTCCATGCCATGGCAAGACGCCTAAATCCAAGGACTGCCTTATGTGGACTGCTGTAACAAAACTGGGTGCCAAAGGGGGCCCACAGCCAGTGGATTAAAAAAGACAGCTGTTTCKTTTTGTCTCATCAGTGGAAGGGCACTGCTGAATGTCTCCACTCTCAAATTATCCCTTTTATCAAATAGCTTTGGATGAGACTCCAACCAAGACTGTCCTTTAGTGCCAGGGCTGGCTATGGTCAGGACAGCCAATGCAAACCATGAACCACAGCCTGAGAATGTGAACAGATGTGCACCGCTCTCAGTTTGGTCAGTGCTGCAGTCAAGGTTTTGAAAACTAAAGTTCTGAACAGATTTGGCTATTAGTTTTTAGGAGTCTCAACTATCAAACGATACTGAAGATTTTAAGCCAATTTTAACTGTCTCTGCCTTGCCCCATGCAATGATCRCATTTGCTGCAAGCCAATCTTACACATGTACAACACACAGTTTTGACTACTATATGCTGAACAACCTGTATTTTGTTTTCCAGACTTCTTCAGATAAACAATAAATGGTTTCTGGTACATGTTAGAGATGCTGATATTGTTGGCACCTGTACTCAGTGGATGCTAGAGAAGGACAGGRTAAGGACTGGAAGTAACATGAGTGATGAGTTTCTGATCTGTATTTGCAATCTGCCCAGCTCATCAGAATTAGAAAATTAATACCATTTGATGTCCTATGTCTTCTCCCTCTTGCTTTCACTAGGGGCTGTTTGCTCAGGTGTGATGTATCCCACACTAAGGGCTTGTTTATTAGAGACAGTCATCCCACATTTTTAGTCTTTAAAGCTGAGATTAACTCTGTATTTTATCAAACAATTTTTTAATTTCTAGATGTACATCTTAACTACACAGTTTTTACCACCCCCTCCACCACCTCAATATCTTCAAGAAACTCAAAATATTTGCTTTGCAAGARGACAAAAAAGATACAGCCTTGTACCCAGGGAACTGAGACAAAAATCAGACTCAAACTTAGTTCTCCTAATGTCCATATTCAAGCTATGGGATGTCTTTGACGAGATGAGATTATTTTAATTGGAGAGTATTTCTCCCTGCTCAGGTTTTGCTCCCAATTTGTCACTCTGATTTCTATTTGGACTTCTTATCCCCCTTTATTACTTTTGCAGATTTCTCAACCAGTTTGACAGGAGGAAGCTATAGATTTTCTTTATTCATCAGACTAAACAAAATTGAACTAACTAAAGGCTTTTATAATATCTTTGAACTTTTGTGGGTTTTTTTTTTCCTGGAAAAACCTAAGCAAAATTAATCACAGCTGGAGAGAAATTGGACTGATCATTCCAGTAAACACTACGTGTGCTAGTAGCTGTGACTTTCATTTTCCATGTAGCGGAAAGATTAAGCAAACAAAGCTGCAGCTATTCAGACTATTTGTCTCATTAGAAAATAGAAGAGTCATTTGTTCAAAAGTACATTGAACTGCCACAGCAGCAGCTGTTTGCACTGAAACARGGATATATTTTGGTTTTGTTCTGAAACTTCTCTATTCTGATTCATTATTTCCATGCACAGAGACTGACAAAGAAGTGCCAGAGGATGCAGGAAGGAAGCAGTGAGCTACTGCTGCCCGCTTCAGCCTTAGGCACGGCTGCGGTACCTGATCTGCTTACTGAAAAGGTTTTAGTAATGTCAACAATAATTTGGGACTCCTTCTTCCTTATGATAATAGCCATGATACATGCAAGCCATTTTCTTATTAGGGCTGTTGGAAACATGCGAAGGGTYGACAGGAGTGACAGACACCCTCTAATTTATCCACCCACTGTAGTTTCCTTCATCTTCCCCACACAGCACTTGTCAGCCTTTTCTGACACAAAGGTGTGATTAAAAAGGAGTCCTAAGAATCGGTTCTCCCTTCAAACTAACCCATAAACCCAAAGAAGCATCTAACAGACTTTAGGGAAAAAAATAATATACGTATTTTTTAATTGGGTCAGAAACTATTTTCAACTTTCAAGCAAACAATTTCAATAAAACCTCACACTGATCCAGAAAGCCAGGCACCTAAAGGGTACCTGAAACCCAGTTAAAGAATTGGACCCACACAAAGACCACATTTCTTCCTCAAGAAAACATTACAATTTATGAATTTTTATTTTAAAATTTCTTTTTATCATCCATTTAGAACAGAGATTGTGGGAATGTCTAAGTGTGGTACTCTTTTTCTGGTTTTGTTTTGTTTTGTTTTGTTTTGTTTGTGGTATCCCAGCATATTTCTCCTCTAGACAATCTCTAGACATCTAGTTTTGTTAAAGCCATTGAAGCCAGTGGTAAAATTTCCTGAAAACCAAGGCTGTATGTCTTTCCAACATAACTACATGTCACGCCTTTGTGGATTAGTCTCATTAAGAAACACCATTTTTGATTGACTTTGCAGATTTGCTCACGTTTATTTTATATTAGCTATGCAAAACGCTATTCTGACAACATACAGTAATCAAATTCTTCTGAAAACATGTTTTCTCTAAAGCTGTCAAAACTATGCGAAGCATGTAAAAAAAAGTTAACTTTCAAAAAAATATCAAATACAGTAACTAGGCAGAATCAACACATGCTTTTATTTCCATTGCATATAAAATTTCATATGAAGGTATCGATGTACAGTACTAACCCATAGGCTGTAAGAGAGGCTAAGAAACCAGTGACAGAATAGCCATGTGCAATGTTCACACAAGTTGCCACTTTCAGGACATCCCCAAAGAAAATACCGAATTAAAACAATAACAAGAAATTGTTCAGGTTTTCTGTTGTTATAGTGTCCCTTTTAGACCATATAAAACAAAAGCATTCGAATTCCTTTGGGCCAGGGCTGCTAAAATCTACAGTTTGTGTCAAAAATGTGATTCTGTTTTTTTTTGGAAAAGAATTTCTCTTTTCATGAATAATTCGCAAGTTAGAAGGGCTGGGCACCACTGGAATGGAGAAGAGGTATTTACCTCACTCTGGCAAATTCAATGATACCAGCTCCAAGTTGTCTGGAGCAATGTGACAAGTTAAACAGCAAGAGTTGCTCAGTCCAACCTGCAAACCTACTAGTAGTGTTATTAAAACATCTAACAGTTTGCTGCTCTTCTGTAGAGCTAGTGCACTATGCTACACACATCTGCACAAAGCTTTAGCTACACCTATACAAAATAAACTTTGGCTACTTGTAACACTAATATTGGAAAGCATTTCCAAGACTGAAGTTGTATATCCTACTATGGATTCTGCTTATACAGTGATCATTTGTGCTACTAAAGAGACGTTACAGATGATTGTAAAAGTGTATGAGTTACACCCTCTTAATTCTCATCATTCCATTTCACAATACGCATTTAAATCAAATGTTTATTAGAGATGCTTTCCAAAGCTGTTTCAGAGCATTTCAGCACTGAAATGCAGCATCAATTATTTATCTTTTTTAGGAACAAAAAATGGCTGCAATAATCCCCAATTACAGGCTGTAAAAAGATATTCAGAGACAATACAATTACCTTACCAGAAGTCTGCAAAAGCTCGAACTTCCAGCAGGGTCAAGAATGAAAGTTTATTGTAGTATTACACATATTAGCTCGTAAGAGTATCCCCAATCGGTTAGCAACTAAAAATATGGTAGAAATGCCCAGCCCTAGCCCCAAGGCTACCTTACTTTCAAATGCAGCTAAACAAGAAAATATTGTTTAAAGTTAAGGCACAGCCCTGGGACCAAAGACCTGCGGCTTTTTTTTTTTTTTTAATCAATATATCTTTATGTATTTTATACTTTTCTTGAATCTTCCATAAACGAGCTCTGTGGTGACACTGAATATATTACAGGAGAAGAAATGTACAAGGAATATGTATACACAATAGTCATTCTCTCACCAAGAGTTTCCAAATACAGCAACACCACCCCGACAAGGATGATGTTATAATAAGAACTGATAATTTACAATTAACATTACATTATGTACATTACAATAAATACATGGTTGTAAACAGAGACAAACAAGACTGTATTACAGGTAAGGTCATTTGGTGAGAAAAATGCATGGCACAAAAAATAAATAACGCGTTTGAAAAGAACTGTCAAAGCTTTCTATAAAATCCATTTCGTTCAAGTTTTTTAACTTCTGAATGCTATTTGTTCTATCTATATCCTTTCATTATCATTTTTTTAATGACACAAAACAATTTAAGAATTTAAACACAGCATTACTGAGTACAGCAACTTGCAAGCTAAAGTGTACTGTTATAAACAAGGTGATTTTTCTTTGTTTGCTCTCACTCAATAACCACTCACTGTGTTTTTTATGGCAAAAATATTCACAACACATAAAGCCACTTGTAAATTGTATAGTTTTAAAGCAGTGTACAATGCTAAAACACACTTTGGCAAAAGAGGAAAAAAAAAGATTGTACAGTGCATTATATCCCCAACTCTAAGAAATGATATAATTTTCTATGATTTGATTGTCCACATGTATAGGTGTATATCTCACAATATGGTTTCATGTTTATTTACTTTCAATTAGTGCAGAAACTAAACCTTCCAGGTCCTACTGGTTATTCTGGAATTTATATTGCTTTTCCATTACTGAGGTTCCAGGCACTCTTGGGGGCTGAAAGGACTTTTAGATGGATCAGATTCAGCAAAAAATGATGCAAAATTAAAAAAAAAAAATAAAAAAATAGTCAAAACACAAAATACCACATGAGTTATCTTCATTCTTTTTCTCCTTCTACATCTTCGGTCCTAAGGCCCTATGAGGGCTAATGATAGAGAAAACTATTACCTGGATATAAAAGAATGCAAAATGCATTTTAAAGTTAAATTATTAGCCAATTATTTTCTAATAGACTTTTATTCTAAATCTCTGGTAATTTAAAAGTACCTGTACTCATATCTGCAAATTTGCTACACAAAAATCCAAGGGAAAATAATGGGTGCTGCTATCACCTTTTGTTAAGAAATTATCTTGATATTGTCCTTTTAACCGAAGTTTACAGCGTGGGAGTCTGCTAGCCTCCCTAGGACACTGTTTCCCATCTTCTACACTCAAACTACAGTTCTAATGAAGAGTAACATGGAGGAAATAAAATATTTTCTTTCATGTGACCAAACAGGACTGAAAAATGACAAACACAAACTCCTACCTCCCTTTAGGTTTCCAAGTTATGGAAGCTTTCGGTACCAATCAAACTGAAAGGCAGGATTCCTTTAGCATAAACCGGATAAAGGATGAAAAGATCTAAGATTGAAATAATATGGAGTAAACTACAACTCTGATGATGCACTGCTTACTTACTTAATAATAGAAAAAAACAAAACTGGCCTGGCTCTTCTTGCAACAATAACACTAATCATTATTTCTATGTCGTACACCTCTCAGATTAGCAAATGGTTTAATTGGATAGCTACCCAGATTAAAAGAATCATAAACTGGAAATATTACACTAATGTTTTCTTGCACCAGAACAAATATTTCATACATTATATTAGTCTGTTCTGATTTAGCAGTCTATARCTCCCAGCCAAAAAATAGTCTAAAAAATGTGTTTCAGAGGAACAAATTTTATTAGTATAGCAAAAGAGCTGTTTTTGTACTGATGACAATTCATTACTCCTTTTACAGGCTCTGGTCCTGTAAATCCTAGTGTTATTGGTCCCAGCTGGTATCACTGGGACTGTTTCATGTAGTAAGACAGAGTTGGCAGGATCAGGCCACTATGAGCAAAAAGCACTATATAAGTCCACTAACACATTTGGGAAAACTGTGATAAAAAAGCGACAAAAAAGCTATCATACTGAAAAAGTTTTATGTAACACAGAAGATATTCATGGAACTCACTAACATATAAAAGAATAGACTTTTACAGCTCCATATTACCACAACATTCTAAGGTGCAAAAAAAAAAAAAAAAAAAAAAAAAAAAAAAAAAAAAAAAAAAAAAAAAAAAAAAAAAGAGAATTAAAGGAAAAACCCCTAGAAGTATTATCCAGTGTAGTACAGATTTGTACTGAAAACCTGTAAGTTACTCTTTGGAAAAAAAATAACCAGTGGCAGATGAAAGTGGTTCTTTTAAAATATAATACCTTGGTATATTTAATAAAAGTAAGCTCTAAAAAAGATCTCTCTCTCACATATTATACAAAATGGAGAGGTTAGTGCAACCCACTGGGTCACACCTTCTTCAGTCATGTCTCAGAAAACTAGAAATTAGAAAATTATGCAATTTTCACAGCTTATCTTCCTGTTGGTAACAGAATCATGTCACGTTTCATCATTTTCGTGAATTTGATTTTTCCAGCAGGAACCTCAATGTTTTTCCTGACTGTTTCCTCTACAGACAAACATTATCCAACACCTTGCAATATCATACAATGAATTCAAAAACTATCAAAGCACACCAACATTTGTTTGGCAGGTAGTACTCCTCTGAAAGCCTCTGCTCTGTTTAATGGAATCTGCCAAATACAGACCTTATTAAAATGTAATTTATGGATGTTCTCCCCCTGCTTTCTGACGCCATGGAGGTGAAAATTCTGGTTACAATATTCCTGAGTGCCAAACTGAGTCATCAACATCAGTTTTGATCAACAATCATCCTGGCAGATAACACCAAGTTCTGACCATGGTTGTAATATGTGACATATACTTTGGAAATCATTACTTATACCTGAAAAAAAAAAAAAAAAAGAAATCCAAAACAAAACCAAAATTCCCCCCTAAAAAAAAGAGAGAAAGAAGAAAAGAAAGGGAGAGAGCAAGAGTGAAGGAGACTGCGTCTTCATTGTTATGTGTCAGAAGAATGTTCTTCTACAACACAAGGCTCTGTTCGGTTCTCCTCCTCTTCTACTTCTTCCCCTACTTGCTCATCAAGAGGAATTTCGGTAGATTCTGAATCCTGGGTGCAAAGAGTCTTGGAGTCACTGAAGCTGGTGTCCTCTTCTACTTGACTTCCACTGTCTTTTTCGGTGTCTGACTCACCATCTTCCTCCAGTGTAAGTTCAAACTGGAATTTTTCAGTTTGACCCCCCTGCTTTCCCTCCTCCTTTTCTTCAGCTGCAGGAGAGGGACTTCGAGGGATTGTGCTCTGGTACCATTCTCGATTATCCTCCAGTGTATCTAAGATATCCTGGGCATCTGGGTGAACGAGATCTGCCCATGTCTCCCACAAAGGATGAACAATGTAATCTATAAAACCCACCTGTTTCAAATAATACAAGAATACAATTATTCACAAAGAAATTAATATATCAATGAAAGTATGAGAAATATTATTCTACTAAGGGACACAAGAGACATTACCCTTAAAGGTGGCTGAAAGGAAACTATACCAGTTAAAATAATAGGTAAGGTCTTTTACTTTACAGAAATCTGATTGCTATTGGATAAGGACATGGAAAGGATTTGTTTTTGAATTGTTGCAAACAATTCCACTGCATCTAGTGAGTCAAATGCATGCTTTATATTTAATTCTGTTTTTAAAGGAAACTCTAATGATCAGGTGTACAATAATCTCTTCTCTTGCATATGCTGCATTTCAGGTCAGGACAGTGATGGAATCCCTTCAGAAAACATACTGCCATGCACTGTGTTTTCACAGTAAAAGTGAAACCGCTGTAAAGTGAAAACCTAATCCTTTGCCTCACCTCCTACTGGGGAGCTGAATTAATTGACTCAGAGGAAGAAAAGGAAATAGTGCATTCAGAAATTATTCAGAACATAACTATGTCCCATCCTTTTTTTCTAAGAGGTTTAACTTCCTTCACAAATCAATTACCTGTGATTTTTCTACAGATGCATTGTGCTTATCACACATGGGACTTATCTCCATTCCCCTCTCTCTTTCCCGGTCTCCCTGACGGAAAAATTCCTCCATGATTCTGTCTGTCCACTGGCGGTAGAGATGGAGCGGCTTGGTTGGATTGCTCAGATCAGCACAGTGCACCATATTCTGAAGCACCTAGAATAGAATGAACATCTGTGGTGTTATTACGCTGAAGAAAAACAATTCCTTTTGTGTTTACATTTCTGGTGATTATAAAACAGAATCTTGAAAATACATGTGGGTCAAGATTTATTCTAAACAATAAAAGCTTAAGTGCTTGGGTGCTTTTCGAWCTTGCAGCAATAGCCATTAATTACCCCATTCTGCTGCTTCTGCCTCTATAAAGGTCACACATCCTCGTGAGAAAGAGAATCACTTGCTGGTAATTTAAAGGGAAARGTAAAGCCTCATTTAGTCCAGAACTACTCTAGCACTTCATTAGTCTGCCAGAGAGTCACTTAGACTAGGGAGGAAACAGAGGGAAGCAGAGAGTCATGGTGTGAAACAGACAGCTCCAATCCATGCTGGAGAATGGGGAGGCCAATGTTTTTAAGTACTCAGCACAAGTGACCATTTACAGATGAATTTCCTTACCTGAATTCTGTCTGAATAGTTATCAAGAAGCAGGACACCAGAACTGGTCACTTTTTTAGTTTCAACCATGGTTTTTAAATCAGCCAGTAGATTCATATGCTTAGACATATCTGTTGCAAGTACCTAGATAAAAACAAAAAATTAAAACTGTGTAAATTATTCTACTGATATTTAAAAAAAATACATATTTGAACATATAAATCAATGGTTTTGGAAGAAGCCTGTAGCTCCTACATCTGAATACATGATATGAGTCCTGTATGTTCATTACAGAAGGCTCTCATTTTAGCTCTTCTAAGAATATAACAAAAACATTATTCTGCATTGTTCAGACTGATCTGACCAACCTAAATGCATTATTAATTCAGTAGCAAATTTCTAACTGCAATGGTAAAGTAGCAAACATGTCAGAACAAAACCAGCTTGAAACAGAATTGTATACCTTCTAAAAATGTACATACTGTTATTGAAACTTAAAATAACAAGCTATTTTTGTTTGATTAAGACATGATAAAACTTTGAACTTTCACTTCATTGCTTACGGGCCTGATGACGTGTGTAATTTATCATAAAATGCTTCTGTGCTTTATTCAATGTATTTATTCAATTATTCAATGTACTAGCTCTACAGAATACAGAGTCTCAAAACTCACGATGTCAATGACCATTTTCCTCAATGATTGTCTCTGTTTTTTGGTCAAATTCTGGAAAATGTCRCAATTTTCTTCCTGCAGCAGCTTAAAACCCACAGCTAAGTGATGATTCTCCAGTACTGATGAGTCATTGTACATCAAAGCGAGTTCAGAATCTGCAACAACAATTGCAGGGCAGAACGTTACTAAAGCCTGTGCTTCTACCAAATCCCTTAAGATCTTTTTCAAATTCATTACATGCATAATAAGATTTACAGATAAACTTTTAGCGACAACCCTGAAAGTTACAGAATTATTGACTGAATGTCTTACTAGGTCAAGCCAAAGTGTGTTGAAGAAAACAAAGAGAAGGCTTTGCAATGATGCATTTGCATGTGCTTGGAGTGGCAAGTTAGAAAAATTATAAGGAAGGTAATTTTCAGATTACATTTTCATATCTGCATGAGGTGACAGGAAATTAAATGCATGATATTATATGCTTTATATTCTATGCTTTATGTTCTATGCATGATATATTCATAAACATAGCTCAACTAAAATACACTTAGATATGTTCTCTTCTCATGCTTCTCTCCACTGCAACACCTAAAATTCTCTTGTTAGTGAAATTTCAGCTTTCCAGCACTGTGACCTGGGCATACAGAGCTGAGGCTTTTCTGCAGGTCTGCTGCAGATAGCACACTTCTTGGTTTCCAGAGCAGATCTTCCTGCAGTTTGCTAAGACACTCAGATGCCCCGTGAACAAGGCCTACAGTCATTATTCCATGACAGTTGAATGTTTCAGGATTTTAGCAGCCACTCTCTGTCTTTTTCATGTGGTTTGAAATTGCAAGCAGTGGCCTCGCCTGCTGCTCCGTGCTTGACCGTGGTGAGTGCCGGATCTACCCGTGATGCTGCCTTCTCCAATGGGATTGTTCCTAACCCAGTCACCCCGCTTGGCTGTGGGAATAACCCACCTTCCCACCCATCCTGTGCTCAGGCACACCTGCCAGGTCAGCTCAGACTCATGGAACAGACTGCTCTGACAAATCAAACCAGTTACAAAAACTTTTGTATAGCTTTAGCTTTTACCCAGGAATACTGCAGTCAGCTTGCACAGACTTTAAGATACAGCTTGTAAATTAAACCTTCACAAAAATCTCAAATACTTTTTATGCAATCATACTTTTCATGTACAATAATTAAGTCTATTTATTACAGCTGTTCTATCCTAAGTCTAAACATAGATCAGTCTATTCCACCCCTTGTACACTTTTCYTCTTTTAGGGCAGCTATGTTTTAAAATGCCTCTGGTTCAATGGGAAGCCTCTAAAAGCTTTGATATTCATGTTTCATTAATCTCATTATCTATTCTCMTGCTGTCCTCCTCTCCGGTCTTGAATAAATTGATCTGTTGGATCAGGAAATTCTTCCTCTGCCTTTCCTTATCCCAATGGCAGCAAAACCATAACAGCAGAAGTAGAAAGAAAGCACCTCTGTTACATATCTCTTTCATCTTTCATATAACACATACAAAGCTTGCATATTTATTTACAAAGGAAATGGGCACTATGTATTTTCCTTTCTAAGAGCCTTCTGATGAGCTGCTACTGCAAAATCACTCCACATTGCCAAAATACTTCAGAAGTGCTGGAACTACTGATGCAGCTAAAATACATTTGACTTAGAAATGGATTTAGAAATGGAAGATACTTCCCCCTGGTAACCTCTGTAACACATTTTAAGATTCAATAATATTTTTCTGGAAGGACAGCGTTACAGTGATAAAAGAAGTATCTCCTCTGATGCTAATATACTTCATATTTGTTTATACTTTAATAGCATTCAAGAGGGATCAGTTTATTTGACAACTGTCTAATAGACTTTAAATAGGAAAATAATATTCATAAAAATCACAAGTCTAATGATAAAGAATAAGATGAAAATCTGGCAAATATGTACATACATTTTTTTTTAAATGTATTTTAATACTTAGCAAAATGTTGATACATTGCATGGTTCACTAGAAAACAAAATTAGATGGAAGGTAATTATCTTCTAAAGATTAGAAAAATTTTGGATGTGAGAAACCAACATAAGATGGTCTTCTGCTGTGTCTCTCCCTTCAGTTTCTTCCTTGTACACAAAACAATTCAAAAGGAACAAAATTCCTTTGTTTCTTTCAGCCTTGCAACAGCAGTTTCAATTAGTGCTGTTACTTGACTGACACGTAACCCTCCTCTAGCAATAGGTGAATTGAGAAAAACAATATATTTTTTCTAAGCTGGTAATTATCARCATGAAGATGACTCCCATTTTAGCAGAATTTCAGTCTGTCTGACTCGAAGTGAAGACTTTATGTACCACGACTCATTCCTTCAATTAGACAATCATCCCTCTTAAACCTGAACAACTTGTTGGTTTCCTCATTGAAYCTCAGAGCTACCTGGTACTCCATTTGTGATTGAACATGGAAAGAAAAACTTTACTTACATATGCCCACCCTTAATTCAGGTATTATACACTGTGTTTTGTACAAAGCTTGCTTCACTCTGCCTTCACTACACTGCTGAACTGTACTGGTCCCCAGTAAAGCACAAAAATCCAAAGTCAATCCTAATCCTCTTCCATGCAGACGAGTCACCAATTTTATTTTAGGGTTGTCCTCAGGCCATTGAGACAACCAAAATTAGGTGCAGGCTAAACTGAAGTGAATATCTTATTTGAATATACAGCAGCAATGAGACAGAGGAGGAGATCCCTTCTTCAAACTGGACTGCTGATTTGGGGTTGCTCTCTTTCAGCACCTGCAAGATAGATTGACCCATGTGCAGAAGTGACAGTATGTAAAAAWGTGGAATCAGATGGGTCAAATACACATGCCTAGGTGTGTTTCCATTTCTGTTGCTTTTTCTTCTTCTGTGCTTGGATTATCAGTATTTTAACTTTGTGCTTCTGGGTCAGTATCACAAAAGAAGAAGTTGTCAGATAGCAAAAGAAATGACACAGTATGATGGAACTTGTACTGACCTACAAAGTGCTACCCACTGATAATTGTGACAYGAGTCAATGCAATCCAGGCAGGTTACACTGAGGCAGCAAACCACTCACTCAATGTGTCATGATCAGGTTCAATAAAGTTAATKGAGTTTTTCTTTCAGTAGAAGAATAAGGAGGGGATAGAGCTTCAGCAATGCCAATAGCCTTGAGAAATGCAGAAGTACACTGGGTTTCAAACTTGCAGATGACTTTAGGATAAGAAAAAAMCATACAGGTTTATCATAGCTCTAGAAACAGGCTAAGAAAATTCAGTCCACAAGGCGTGAGAGATCAAAAGCCAAGTACAGCATCCAGGTAGAGAGAGATGGTCCTGACGGTTTGTTTGCTAAAAAGAAACTTGTTTTCTGTTTCACGGATTTCTATCCTTGGCCATATCATATTCTTCCAATATGAACATATAAACTCTTGTCTTCCTTTTATTTTTTTTCTATAAATCTTCCTTAATTTTTTTCCACACAACTTTATTTATTTAAAGTAAATTAGCTATATTTCCAGGACAGACCACACCCAATACACTGAAACAATGCTAGGTTTATTGTTCATACTTTAGTAATTCTTGCTAAAGGGTACTAAGTAAATTATTTCTGAAGTTACAAAAATGCAAATTAATATCAGCTTTAAAATATAAACATCTATCTATTTGCTGAGAAAAGTTAAGAGATAGAAGCAAACAAGGAATCAGCAATGTATTTTTCAGGTGCTACTGCAGACCTTGMAGCAAACTTTTGAGGAAACCACTGAATATCAAACTTACTTGTGTTGATAAGAAACTGGTTTGAAACCCCTGGATGATCCACATCATGTATCGCACTCGCAAAAATTGCTGCAAGAATCTCCAAATCAGTGAACACCGCCTAGAACATCATGAAACAAAAATGACAATCACTAATCAGTGAAAAAGACAAACGATGACAGGACTCTGCTTTGAATCTGGATCTGAACGAGCAAAACACATTTGAAATACACCATGATCTCTGGAGACTTTACACATAAGCTATCAAAACCTTTTGTAAGATCATCARTTATTTGGAATTTAATAAATATTTCAAGTCTGGCCAAAGTAAAATGATCTATACATCATATAAACAGCATCACCAAATTTTTTCACAGCTGAAGTATTTTCAGCCTCAGCCTGTAAATAAATCCACCTTTATTAGACAATTAAGTACAGGTCTCTAACTTATAGCACAAATTAAAGTTAAATATTTCAGCTTGACTCCTAAGTATTGTCCTGCACTTGAATGATGCRTATTTTATATATGATGCTAAATGAAACAGCGACAGACTACACAACATCTCACTTAACATTTACTAGCTTTTCATCCTTATGGGATCACTAGGAAAACAGAAAAAGAGGACTGMAATGGACCTGGAATATCACCATGCCCAGTGCCCTGCTGTCAGAAGCACCCACATTATACAACTGYTTTCACAACAGACCAGGACATCTTAGAAGTGCATAGACCAGTGGTGACACTGGACAGACATTGACATTTCACCACCTGAAGCTCTGCTGTGAAGAAGGCCATGAAAAAAAGTTGATCTGGAAAAAAAAAACCCTTTAAAATTTTGCTGATGACTGGTTCAGCTGTGTGGTGAAGCTGGTGGAGTTTTAAGAACATTATCTGACCTTTCTCCTTGAGAGCAAGAAATTCTTTCTCAAGATATTTCCAAATCATTGAGGATCAAAACCTGCCAAGAGTCTCAAGGTCCACTTACAACCCTCCTTTTAAGGAGAAGGTAAAGTGGTTCTATTCAGTAACATGAAAGATTAGTCATAACAGGAAAGAGTCAAAACCTTCTTGAAAATGAAGGTAAATCCTTTTGAATTGGCAAATTTCAGCTGCTTGCTTTACCTGCATTTTCCAACAATTTGCTTGGATATATCGATGTTTGCTATGTTAAGACCTGAACTATTCTTAAAAAAGGGAAAATCTTCATCTTCCACATCCTTCTACTTCAGAGATTTAAGAGTTTCAAGAAGAGAATTGCTATTAAAAAGACAGATTTTTTTTTTCCCCCAAGCAATTTTGGAATATTTATGGGGGGGGGGGGTAAAAAAAAGAAATAGCCCAGTGAAAATTTAGTGCATATTCCAATCTGTATTATAAATGAATACATAAGCAGTCTTTCAGGATTAGAATAAACATGCAGAATTGAAGGTAAAAAAACCTAACACCCTCCCACCCAAAAAACCTCACCAATCAAAACCTGAAAGGCTCTGTTCAGACAACAACATTTTATCATTAACTTTCCTAAGAAATTCCACTTGCTACGGCTAGGTAGAATCCGACATGGCAAATAATTACAAAACRGGATGTAATATAAATAATGAGATGGTGGAAACAAAATATGCATTGTATCACAATGAAAAAGGTTATGACAGCATAAATCTACATGACTTAAAATGAAAAGATGTGATATTTTCTGCACAATATTTATATGTAAAATGAGCTTTGAGCCTCCAAAAATATCTTTATAAAACCAGAGTTCATTAGAAATGCTCAGATTTCTTTTAAAAAAAATTGCAGAAACTAAGATCTTTAATATTTCATTTAGAAGATTCTCAGTATGTCCCCTTCTCTCATGGCTTCCACTTTTCAGTGCAGTTTACCTCTAATGCTGGGGTTGATAGTAGGACATGGGTTGACTGAACAACATCTGCAGCGTGTATGTTATTGTGATATGCCACATCTGCATGGTAATGGTCTTCCAGGGTCATCAAGTAAGTTATTAAAGTATCTACTGGAATCTTAAAAGTTTTTAACAAGTCCCGCTCCTATAAAAGTAAAGAAGAAACAATTAGATTATAAAGCACAGAACAGTCTCCAAGATAAGAAAAAAAAMCAGCATGACTGCTCCTACTTGCCTGAAAAATAGTGTGCATGATGACAGTCAAAGGTCTGTTTCCAGATAACTCCGCTACTCTGAAAACCTGAAGGCCCCACTTGTTCAAATCTTCAAGTTCCTAGAGCAGAATCAAGAAACAAATGGGTTGAAACCAAACACAAAAATTCCAGCAATTTTTGAGCGAAACAATTAGAGGACTCATTCAAACCGTGCCACTGTGAAAGTTACATGCTAAACTCAGGAAAAGCTAAACGCCAAACTCTGCAGCTGCTACTAACCTTGCAATATCAGATTTTACATCTACCAATTCTTCAGATTTTAATTCTCTGACCTAAAAAAACTGCCTCTTAAGTGGCTTGCTCCAGAGGGAAAAATACTACAGTATCTTAACTGACACATTTTGCTATCTCACTGTCCATTGATAACAAAGTTCAGTGAGGAGAAAACCTCCAGAAATGCTGCAATTCTGCTGCTCTCTCCATGGTTGTCAGAAACATGCTTCAAATAAGATTCCTCAAAACGTTAGGATAAGCATATTTTTAAATGCAAGACTCAATCAAAAATCCTTTTATACTACTTTTCTATTATTGCCAAGTAGTTAAATACAGGTGCAAAAATAATACGACATTTTATTAAAAACAAAACCACAAATTATGTATTTAAAATGMCACTAGTGCTATATACCCTTTGTGCATTTTCAAAAAATATGGTATCTAGCTATAGATTTTTATTCCTGTGACAGTATACAAAATGTTTACTCTTCAATCTTCAGACATTATTTATTAATAGACAGATTTATTAATGCATACAAAATCCTAATTCACATTCCGTCTCCAGATGAAATTGTCTTCATGCTGAAATTAACCCTTATGGCCTAATTCTAATTTTATTTTCTATTCTTTCACTTCAACAAATTTTAATTCTTTCAGCTGAGATCAGTGCTTGGTGCTGCATCTTGAAATCAATATTTATAAGCAGAGGATGGAATAACATGGACAATTCCACACTCTGTTTCAATTTAATTGTTTAAATTCAAGCATTTATATATTCTCTACCTTGGCAAGGCTTTCTTCTTGGTCTGTTTTAACTCCAAACCTGGGAATACTGGAATTAGTTAGACTGGAGCTGTGCATGAGTTTTTTGACACCACTGATCTGGGACATTGGCCTCTTCTTTTTYTCTTTCTCTTTCTGTGTTGGAGAAGGGATTTCAACTTCATGTTGCTTGTCTTCATAAGAAGGAATAAAAAGAGAGTAATTTATAAAAGAATTAGAAATATAAAATTCACTGTTGAGTTGCATATTATAGACTTTTCAATTCTTAGAAAAACATYTTTTATTGCAATKGATACTTTCCATCAAGATCAGTACTCCCATGAAAAGTTAAATATAGACCTATGGTTCAGTACAGGCAGATGTCTTTTACTCAAATTGCCTCATTATTTCTGAACTGGCTTTAAAAACAACTTATGACTGTCTGATTACCACTTCTGCCATACCCCTAGTAATGTAGAAAGGGTCAATCCTCTCTATATAAAAGTGCTATTATAATGGAACAGGAACCCATTTTGCAAGACAAATTTATTTTTTGCTTTTTTTTTTTTTTTTTTTTTTTTTTTTTTTTTAAGGAGAAGCACTCTTGAATTGAATTTCAAAAACACAGTCCATGTGTGTCTTCATGTAAACCTTTACAAAACTTTTTCAGGACTCGAAGGATCAAATACCTGGGGCCTTGGAAAGTCTTTTGCCAGCCACATCTACACTTTGGCTGTAGAGGCAGTTCATGTCAGCAATGCAGCAGTTCTGCACCTCCCAGCTGGAACCAATAATGACAAAATGACTGCTTTGCTAAGGCCCTGAATTTTGCTGTGGGCTTTTGCCTCCATAGCTGTATCAGCAGCACCACTTCATAAAATTTATCAACGCATGTGCCAGCAAAAGTTTAGACAAGAATTAAATGGGGAGTAAAGCATATTTAGCCATCTGTCACATGATTGCTGCAGAAAGAACATGGGCTTGTGGAGCACTGCAGATATCTATGGTCCCCAAAAAAAGTGAAGTTAGTGCAACAAAGGATTTTCCTGGCATAACTTCTAGCGTGCATTATTTTTTGTTCTCATTTCATTCATAGAGTTTAATGACTCTCTTCAAATTGTCTCATTCTTTTTTTTTTTTTTTACTGAAATGTACCTCCACCTTTTCTTGACCTCAAGGAACATACCAATAAAACTACAAAAATCCAGAAAAGGTGTTTCTAACACAGGAGATGAGCCAAACCAGCTGAAAAACAGCTTAAACCAAAATACAATTTAAACAGAAAGTAAGAAAATTTGTGTTTTTTACAACACGTGTACTTTTCCTTTCTGCAATATTCATTTTCAATGCAGAGTTTGAAACCAGATGAGGTTAGCAAGTTGATTTTTAATTCCCAGCTTGTTATGTTTGCTTCTTCACTTTCTTTTTTTCCTTTYCTTTCTTTTTATTCTTCACTTACCCTTCAGCAGCCACATTTAATGGACACCTCCAATTCCAAACAAATCACAGCAAGGAAGACACCATGGAAATGTCACCAAGTTGTAGCCTGCGGCACAGAGTCCCCTGACTGTCCCAAATACTTCACCACTCTCCTCATAAGGAGAAAAAGGAGAGGTGGAGTACAGCAGCCCACGTCTGGTGCAAAGTGACAACAGATGAGGAGCAGTGCCTCGTGTTTGTGCTTTGATGTTTATGGTTTCGGTCATGTGCACAAAGTTTAGACCCATCAAACAGAGGTTGGTAAGCTGAGCTGTCAGAACTAACTCAAGTGAAAGGAAGTGTCTGTCTGAATGACTTTAGCTCTCCAGAGAAATTTGGTGGGACTGTCTCTGCTTTTGTAACTGCGAGCACATGGGGCTGTGCCTGTCTGAACACCCAGAAAAGACAGCTTGCCATTTTGACCCTGTTCATGCTATGTTCAATGACAGGTTCTCAGACACTTTCCATTCACAGAAAACAGGTCAATGACACAGAAAAAGAAAAACATTGCATATTATTGTTCACAATGTAGGAGCCTTGATTCTGATACATAGAAGATATTTCTTGTCATTATAAATAACGTCATACTTTCATAGAGCTCTATAAGAAWACTGTTTGTTTTTGTTGTTTAGTTTGTTATTTTTTAATAAGAAAAAAAGAACAGAAAACCCTGTTTTTTCATTACACATTCCTAACTTACAAATGTGACAAAGTTTGTTGAGAGATCTTTAGGAGGTAAGTTATGCATTAAAAAAAATAAACTGGATAATAAACTCATTGAATTTTTCTATGGAGATAATGTTTTCCCTCTTTACATAGATGTTCAGAACCTATATGCGTAGACGGCATATTTTGAAAACATGTATTTAAGCAATATATCTGCAGAGGAGGTGTTTTCACCATTGTACTTCTCTTATACCTAAAATTTTAAGTATCTAGTTTTTTATGCAGACAGAAAAYAGTTCTCATGGTCTAATAAATTAGAAGTGATTGCCTTTCCAGCCCTCTCAAAATGGAGATCTCACGCGAAAGGCTGACAGATGCATTTCTTTACCCTGTCAAAGTAAGTCTTAGGTTTCCAAGTAAAAGCAGGCAGAAGCTGGCATCTCAGTCTCCACAGCCTAAGTGGGTCATCCCTGCAGGCAATTGTACACTGTGGTTTTCAGGGCATCTTGGGCTGGGCAATATTTCTTCTCCATGACAGAAGCTTTTCCCTCTCCCAATGCCTGAAATCCTGCAGTGCCAGAGTGGCCGGCACAGCACTGCAGCCATGGSCCAGCTGAACAGACACGTTCACCCATCCATTCAGGACAGGGTGACAGGATAAAATGTACTCTAGAAAACCTCCACTTCTCAAAAAAAGCCTCAGAAAGCACCAGCTATGGTATCTCACACAGAATAAGATGGATCTTAACAGGTACGATTGGACTTTTTAAAGCACTTGCTATCYGAATGTAGATGTATTTGCCTGTGCCTTTCCTCATACGGAGTCCTTATGAACCAATGGTATTTTGTTCAAAATACGTTTAGATATTGCCATAGTATTTTTATCATCATGGTCCAAATCAACAATATAGAACTATGTTTTCTTGAGTTTCATGAATTTTAGTAAAGAAAAATGCCATGGTGAAAGAACCTTATTCTTTCTAATATTGTGTCGGGCTTTTGTTAACGCTCACATCCCACTATGCCAAGCTCTTAAGCTGCAAAAATCTTCCTGGCAAAAGTCTATTCAGTCTATTCTATTTATTTAGTCACATGCATCTAACTGTGCATGTGCAGGCAGGGAATACCAAAATATCTTAACTGCATGCTGTGAAATTTTAGGAGGTTACTTGAACTTATGTTTTTCTAGCACACTGAAACCTCCGCAGTAATTCCTGTAGGAAAATATAGTGGGAGAATTCTCTTTAAAATATAAATTTATATAATTACCACTCTGAGATTAACTCAGTTGGTTAGAGCATGAGGCTAATAATGCCCAGGTTGTGGGTTTGAGCCCTGAATGGGCCATTCACTTAGGAGCTGGACTTGATGAGTCCCTTTCAACTCAGAATATTCTGTGAATTTGCATGATTATATTCATTATATTAATTTCCTTATATGGTAGCAATAGAGTAGTTGTAATATGTACATGAATATTTATCTATAATTACACACACAGGGTAATCACAGACACAAATTAACTGAGCTGTGAGGAAATGGATCTAATCCGATCTTTCTGCACAAACACTAAACAACAATATGCTAAATGCAGTTTCTGAAAGCAGAAATTAACATGAAAAGCCCCTTGCTTTTAAGCTCTATCACAGTCCAGAGAGATATAAAAACCCCCAAAAGGCAAAAAAGTTAACTCTCATAGTCTTACCTAAGAAAGTGTTTGAAATAAATTCTGAGACCTGGTTGCCTGACCTGCTCATTTCAGACAGGTGGGTTAGCTCACGGTTGAGCATTCTTTTAAACTGGAAAAGAAAACAAAAAAGCATAAAGTTAGTTACATCAAGATGTAATTTAGTTATGATTAGAAAACACAGTCAGTTTATAACTGGGAAAAGTTATACATGGTAAGTATACACAAGTTATACCGTAAGAATACACACCAAAGATAACCAAAGATTTCTGAAAGCAGAAATCACATGTACCAATGATTTACCCCACCAGTTTACTCATAGATTAGAAAATGTCATTCTTAATCTCCTACAATACATCATAGTGATTCAATGACTACTAGGAACTAAAACCTCTTAAGTCATATGCATATGCAAAAGTATTATCTTTCCAATTTTTCAATTTTATTTTGGAAAGTAAATAAAATTTATTTTTGTATTTATGTAGGAGCTTTCCTCTACTAGTTTTGTCATGAGATTTGTTAATTAACCTATTTTTTGCAATTTTTGCAATTCATTAGGTAATATTTCAAATCTATTTTACCTCTCTTCATTAATCGACTCCGAAGTATTTTACACCATTGCTCCAAACAATCTTACTGATTTCATACTAGCCTATATGAAAAGAGGTAGGTTTTGCTGTCTGGAACTACAGTTATTCTATTCAGTCAGTGCAATGACTTGGCCATTCCACAATCTCAGAAAACTGCAAGCATCTCTAAGACACTTTGGGGTAGAAAACACCCATCCGTGGAAACGCCTTCTATTTCTCTMTAAGTTAGCAATTCACTCTAGGCACTCTATAGGATAGAAGTGGATATTAATATTCCATGAACTGCATAATTAATTAGGTACTCGTCACTGAGCCTTTTTTGATTCCTTGTAGACTCCAGGGTGAAATGATATCCTGTGGCATTATGCTTGACAGGTTAATTGCATAATACAGCTCTCACTGTCTTAGACGCATTTTCATTGACTATAGCTCTGCCTTAATATTACCAACAGAAGTCAGCAATACTTATTAACAATTCAAACAACTCTTGACAATGGAAATTAGCATGCATCTGTCACTATTGGATTTTGCCTCCTATTGCACCATCCTTTCATTTTGTTGTTAGATTTCTCAGTCATATTTCTCTTAACAAAGCCAAAGAATTTGTGCCTTGTCCACGCAGTCATAACTATTACATMAAGAAATAGATATTCTTAGAATATATATGTGTGCAAACATTCCCCTGTGTTGAAAACCGGTAATTTATAATTTATTCCTCTTCAAAGGAGATAAGCCACTGGAGTAAACATTAACCACCACATTTCCATTGCACTGGAATCATCAAAGCTACTTCTTCAAAGTGGCCTTGCATAGTGAAAGGTGTTATTTTCTGAGCAGTATCTTTGTAAATCACCAATTACCATATTGCTCACAAGGTGCCAAACAAAAATTGCCTTTAATATAACATTCTAACCRTTAGCCACTGCGTTTCCCTGCCATCTTGATGTGTCATCAGCTTAGGAAGTTCCAGAGTTACAAAGATGGAATCCTACTTCAGTCACAAGCCAAAGGCTCAACTTTGATCTTAGATACAGCCATGTGCTCACAAGGGCTCAAMACATGCCTCAAAATCAGAAACATACTCCAAATACAGCCACCCGTACTATGAGAACTACAGAGCTACACATCCTAGACAAAAGCAGTATCAACCTCTTCAGCACTGCCTAATGTTTATCACCAATGTCACATGCTGAAAAATCAAGGCAAGTTTACCAAGCAATAGAATAATTGGTCCAGAAATCCTAAGAAGTTTTTTAGAAGCCTGTCTTTAAACTTTTAACACATTCAAGTCATGCTTGCACAGTTTTTCTTCTGTTCCCACAAAAGGTGAGAAACTGTATCACTTAAGGCAAAACCCAAAGATCTCATGGAATAGCTTGTCTCCAGATGGCATCCAAAAWCTGAAGCTTCAAATTAAATATTGTGTATAAGAATCTCAATAAAATATCAGAGGCTGACAAAACCACATTAACTTCCAGGCATGTCACCAGTATATATATTACTAATCCAATATTCTCTCTTCCTTAATTTAATTATTTAGTTCACTGGATCCCAACTTCAACAGAACCTCATCTGTCTGTCTGTTTTCTAGTAAACCCTTCCACATGACGCCCAACTTGGTGATGCTGCTTTTGATGCAGACCAAAACCAAGTGTGTCATGTTCCACACTTTGGAAAAAAGACCATCTGGCCACCACTGGTATGTATTCTTCAGGAGCTCTTCTTAAAAGTTTCCCAGCTTTGAAAGAGGAACAAATCAGTGTCTGTTTGCACTATGTTTTTCCTGCRGCTATCTGACACAGGAAATAGGAAGGATGGGTTTTTATTCCAAACAATAAATTTAATTAGAGGGAGTGGGTAAGAAGGTTTGTTTTGCATACTGAGAATCATCATATGGAACTTATGGAACATATGTTCTCTAAGAATTTTCAACTCAGTATTTGTTGTACAGATGTCCACAACAAAGGGAAGGTACGTAATAAGTCCTTTCCAATGCTGTGTTCACCACTAGTGTGATGCAAACCCTCATCTTTCCACCTCCCGGCACCCCACAAGTCAGTAGAACATGAAAACACAATGAGAACTGCAGAACAGTCTGTGTTACTGCTGAACATGGGTATATAGTAGAACAAGTCCCTCAGTCTCTGCAAGACCCTCCTGCTGAGAGCAAATTCAATTGAAGAAGGCTTTGGCTTTGAAGAACTGTAGCTGCGTGATTTCTTCATACTCTTTCACATGTTGCTGACGCCACAGGACCAAGACTTTAATTGGCATTTATTTTGAAAACCTCTGGTCTAAGCAGGAGTTTAGAGAACTTTTTTGATTTTTTAATTATATGACAAAGCCTTAAGACTGTCATTGCATTGAATCAGATGAAGCTGAAGACTATATGGAGACAGAAGTTTCTGATTCAGAACAATAATGCTCTTTGAGGACATTGAAAAAACCAAACATGAGAGACAAAMAGCAATCAAGATGTTCAGGCATTTTTGTTGGTTATACTCTGTTTCACTACATCTGTACATTACTTAATCCTCTTATTTTTAATAACTTGTCTTTCAGAGGGAAAAAAAATCCATTTTCTAAGAAAAATCCAAAACAACAAAACCAAACTTAACCCTGTCATTTTTTCCTGATTTTATGAAGATTTAATTTTATTTCTCAAAGATTTAATTTGGGCTCAAGTGCACCCATACACAAGTGTTATTTCAAAGATCCATATATTTATACAGCTCTGTACAATTACTTTATGTTGAAATACTGCCTCTCACATGGCTCCACAAGATCTTACAGCCAACCAGAGAAACTCATTACATCTGTGAACCAACACTATTTGCTCATCCAACAAGCACCCCTAAGTGCTTGAAACTTGTCTAGACCCCATAGTCTGATAATTTGTCCTCCGGGAAATAACACTTTGCAGGTTATTCCAAAGAAGTCAAACAAGACATGAAACCACTTTGTTCCTGACAACAGTAAAGGCAACAGATAATATTTTGCATAAGAACCTTAAAAATCTGAATGCTATATACCTTTCCAGTTCAAGAAAWTAAATCATTAAGATCAAAATTCTTTTTATTAAGAAAAATTTAAACCATACATTTTAATTATGATATTGTGAACTCAACATGAAGAGGAAGCAGAGGGTTTTGGTTGATCCAGRCATATATTGTATTCCTCCTCAGAAAGATTTTCCCACATCCCACTAGGCATTGTTAGATCGGAAAAATGACACATATACTCCTTTGGAACACCACAGTTCTTGTCTATAGCTTTAGAAATTCCCCCTGGAAATTGGCTATAAAATGCCCATTAAGTCAATTATACAGTTCTTCACTGCTGAATGTTGATGTCAGAGCAACAGAGTCATAAACTCTCCTTTAAAAAAAAATCCTGGAAATATTTCCTTGCGTAGAATTTTTTAAATTTCATTTGTTCCTATTTTTTTCAGATTTTAATCTCAGCTGGTGTTAGGGGGGTAGGGGTGTTATGAAGGTGCAGAGCCCTCAACACAAATACAGGCAGAGCATTCAAATAACATTAAAAATCTCCCTAAAGTGGCAAAACTACATGTGCACTGTTATCTCCCTTTAAAAACCTAAGAAGTCTGCTGGAGCAAAAACTGTAATACATGAGAATATTGAAACAGATGAAAACGAACTGAGAACAATTTCCTGAATAGTGTTAACCTCCCAAGAACAGAWTTGTAGTTTAGGTCTTTTTGGGCTGAAACCCAGTGTGAGTACACCTCTGCATCTACATTACTGCTGTCAGTCTGGGATAACATATATGGCAGCTTTTTTGAAAAGTAAGCTTTTTTTGAAAAAAAGTTGACACTTTTCTGATGTCAACAAAGATACACAGGAAAACACAGACAAACTATTGGAGTGGCCATACTCCCAAATGGCAACCAGAGCATTGATACATTTTTGGGAAGAATTTGCATGCATGCTAGAAAGAAACACCAACTCCAAGATCCAACTAGAGTTGATTCACAGCCATGAAAATGTTTGGGCTTTATAGTTAATACATGTAGGGATTTTTATTTACCCTTTAGAAGATTTTACAGATTTTGTGTGAAGTTCTTGACTCAATAACACAAAGCTGAAGTAAAGAGGCAGCCAGCAGCTCGTTGTGCAGAGAGAGGGTGCACACAGAACACTCCTGGTGTAGACTCCCCGTAGCAGTAGGGTGTCTCCCGTGCAGGCTTTTGTTCCTGCACAGAAACCTGCCACACTCCGAGCACTGTCAAGAGGCTGCCTCCACCACAGCCTTTGGCACTAATATTGAGGGTGAAGCCAGGGGTAGAAGGCAGTCCAAGGACCAAAAAGMCCCATCCTGCCTGTCCTTCAGTCTGAGCATTTATCGAGCTCCAAGTCCAGTGGAGGCTGGACTTAAAATGCTCAGGAGTGACTGGAGACTTTCATTGCACTGGATCCCAAATCCAGATGGCAACAGATCTCAGTTTTAACCTTTCTTTTTAGGTAGCTTTTGTAAAAACTTTCATTAATACAATACATCC